TCCCGGGGGCCTGGGGAAGGGGGGGTGTGCCTGCAGCCCTCTCCCCCGCTCCTTGCCTGGGGCTTGGGCGGGGGTGGAGGGGTGGGAGACTTGTCCCGAGAGCCCTAGGGCTGTTTGAGAAGCTAATCGATCCGAATTGCTGATTTGTGATCGGGTTTGCGAGGCAAAGCCGGGCTCGGCGCCTGGTTTAGGGCTGCGTGCGGGGAGGATTCGGAGGGCAGCTCTCCCGCTGTTGGGTACTTACTGTTTGTATAATTGAGAAGGTCCAATCTCCACCTGTTTAAGGAGCAGATTGAAACAGCAGAACCTCCCCTGGATCCTATTAAAACGTTTTTCCTCCTAAGGCCATTCAGTCGAACCAATTTTCCGAAGTGATTCATAGAGCTGAATTCTGCCAAGGCAGCTCTTTCACTTTTAGCCACTAAAGCACCGCGTGGAACCGGGTTTTGTGTTTTTCTAAAATAAAGAGAAGGATTATCAGAGGGGAGAGGGAGGGGGCCTGAAGCGGGCGGGCAAAGACTTAGTGTGGCCAGAGGTACAAGCAGAGGGAAGAAAAGGCCCTTTTCTAGACAGGCCCCAAGTAAGTTCGGAGGAATTCAGCGTTTTTTTGTGCCTGGCGCACAAAAGCAGAGCGCTCCGCGCTGGGTTTGGAGGGGCTGAATTCATGTTTGCAGACCATTCCACCTGCGTATCACAACAAACTGCTCAGAGACGCTCCGGCACTTTCAACAGGCCGGGTGCTCTTGGCGACAACAAAAGTGGTCGAGGCTGAGGGTTCTGATGGGGGTGGGGGGTGGGGAGTGGCGGCTAGCTAGAGAAGGAGAGAATTAGGTTTAGGGAAAGAGAGGGGGGAGTGCAAGGGGTTTTTGAAAACTTTTGGCTGTTTTTGTTCGTGGGACAATTATATCTTGCCAGCCGGCTTTTGCAAGACCAAGAGCTTTGTAGCGGCAACGGCAGTTTAAGAGGATTACGGTGGGTATAATATGAGCAAACAGGGTTGAGGGTTTGATAGTCAATTCCATCTCCAGAGATACACCATCAGCGGAGCCAGGGAAAGTGCCCGTGAAGGCAAACCCTCTCCTTCTCTGTTCTGGGCAGACTTTGCCCCAGAGTACCCATCTGATCCTAGGCCCCTCAGCAATACCACCCGCCCCAGGGAAAACTGCCCTTCAAGGGCCCAAAGAGCAAAGCTTTAGTTTAGAATACAAACAGATAATATCCTTTCCCTCCGCGAACTTCTCTTTCCCTCCACCCACCCACCTATCCAACTGTGGTGGCTCTGACGGCCATTTCAGACCAGTGGCAGATAGAGAAAGGAAAAATGTAGTAGGGAAGCAGGGGAGGCGGGGGACAAATACAGGCCTCAAAGAAAAGTGGCAGTGGAAGGGAACTATGGTAGACTAATAATCTATCCTGCCAAACTCTGAAACTGCTCCTAAATTCAACAATTATGAGTCTGTTCTCTAAATATTACCCCCCCCCCCACAGAGAGAGATCTGAAACTTCCAGATACCAAAGCTAGAGTCTTGCACAAATAGAGAAGAATATTTTAATATAGCCCATTTAATTTAAGACATTTCACGGAGACTTCACTCCACACCCAATGTCCCCATCTTTATGTAAATGACAAGCTTATAGATAACCCTCCTCTCCCACTCACCCCAGCAAACCACTCACCCCTGCACCTGCAGTCTCTCAACCCCGAATTTCTACCCCGACTTTCCTATGGAATCCTGCTTGTCACCAGCCTTGCATCCCAACCGGTTCCCCAAACTGGGCAATTGTTGGTCTCTGCAGCAGATGAAAGATATGCTGGGATGAACACTCCATCAGGCTGAAAGGCTGCCCGAGAACCTGCCTTGCCACCATCCCTCCTGCCTTTTGTGGCTGCATAAGCCATCTCTCTCTCTCTCTTCCCAGCATCACAAAGCGGTGCTACCTCCACAGAAAGAAAACATTTGGGTAAAAACAAGTTGCCCTTAATGTGCCTTTCTTTCCAAATGTTGGGTGAATACACTGGCTTTCATGAAAGTATTTAATTAGCTTCCACAAACTTCTTCCCTTGCCTGCAGATTATATTGAAGTGGAGGGTTGGAAACTATTTTACACCTTGCCACTCACATGTTAATTAATCTCTATCTAACCCTAATTGCAGTTTATTCAAGCACCGCTCAACAGCTCACCCACACAATAAACACTGATCCTACTTTTATACATATTACTTCACGTTAACACATTGAGTAATTAACTCCAGTACCAACTAATAGTGCAAACAAATATTTTCTGTAAACGAGATGATTTCAGGCAGAATAATAGAAGACTGGGGAAATGTCATGCATGGTGGAGGGGGTGCTGAGATTCTCATTCCTTGCCCCCCCAGCCTCCAAATTCATTTTTCCAGGGCACACCAGTTTTTAAAGGGCTGGTTTCCTTTTAGGAAGGCTGAGACAACTATAGAAATTAAACGTTCAGAATTTTAGTGAGTTGCTGGAGAGAATTTTGTGAGATTAGGGATGACCTTTTTAACCTACAGGTTTTCTGTGTAGGGGAGGATCCCCCATAACTCTATGTGAGCTTTACAGGAGGTGGCAGGTCTAAGCATATTGATCAAGCATGTTGTTCCATGCCAGTAAAACAGTCTGGGGAAACTTCCTACTTTAAAAAACCTTTCCTTGAAAATGACAGTTTCTCAATAAGGGGCAACTTTCTAGGTTTACCATGATTTTTCAAATCCAGATAGGTCACAAGCTCTACTGTTGGTACCAAGAGAGCAAGAGATCAAAAGACAGGCTACAGATACCTAACCAGGAGGGATCTATAGTCTGGACCTCTGAAAGGCGTACATGTTGGCGTTACCTATTTGGCCTCAGGGACTGGATTCATGGTGGTGATGGCAATCACAAGGCCCCAGCAGGCCTGCAGCCAGTGAACCAGCCCACCACACTCAGCTCTTGGACCAACAGGGTCCAAGCGGAAGGCCTCAGCTCTTGCTTCTTTGCCATCTGGTCTTGCTTGGGTACTACTAAGGAAACCTCAGGGTGAGGCCTGGAGCGCCCCTGGACCCCAATACTTCTTAGTTTTCATAACCAGTCCCGAAGCCCAGCACCTCTCCAGCTCTATGGGACCTGCCACAGCCTCTGTCTCTGCAATCCCAGGTCATGTGATGATGCCACACTCGGGCCAAGCGATGCGATGTGCACACTACTGACTAGGGATGTGTGCCCAACTCCAAAGTCCAAAAACAGTGTTTTAATTGAAATTGCAGGCTTAAGCACAGCTGGCGGCTACCTATTGATTTTACAGGAGCTTCTCTGGTAGGAAGCATATTAAATATGACAGGGTTCGCCTGCCCCTCCGCCCCTTCCCTCTGCCATTTTATGGTCACTAACTAGAACCACTGTAATAATGACTTCTGTTTAAGAAAGAAAAATCAATGCCAGAAATCGCCCACACTTTAGGACAAATCACTTAGCAGATGCCTTCCCGGAATGCAGGCAACCTCAGAGGAAAATCCCTTTCTTGTATAGAAGCTCACACATTCACACCGCTTCTGGCGCCTGGAAAGAGAACGCAAGCATTCCGACTCCGAAAAGGTGCTGTTAATTCTAGTCTAGGTGGCTGGGTCTCTTGGTTCTGGACAACAAGGGACACTTACATTTCAGATTATTAATATTATTTTCTCCAGTGTCTGCAAAACATAACAGGTCGCTGTAAGTTACCTCACACTAGGACAACACACTCTGGGGGGCGTACTGAGTTTGGGGAAATGGGCTGAGCAGATTTGATGCCTTCATTGCTCCGCTCCGGAGCAATGCCTTCGTTGCTCCGGATTTATTTAGGGGTGGTTGAGAGAGCGAACCCAAACCTTAAAAAACTTTCAGTGTCTCCTTCCCTAGTTTCCCTCTCCTTTCTCTTTCCTTCCTTCCCTCCATTTAAAATATGGTGGTGACCAG